ACCTAGTTTTAAGGAAACTAAAATCCTTACGCCCAGGTAAGTCACCAGGTTGTGACAACATCCGCCCTATAGTCTTGCAACAGTACGCTGAAGTCCTCTGCTCACAGTTATGCGACCTGTTCAGGCATTCACTGGAGTCATACTAATTCCCACCTGAATGGAAACAAGCTACTCTCTATCCAGTCTTCAAAGGAAGCAATAGAAAGTACTCAGCCTGTTAAAGACAAGTCGAACTACTACCTATATTATCAAAGGTTGCGGAAGGACTAGTGGACGAACAAATGAGGGAGTACATGGATAAGAATAAAATACTCCATGAAGCTAAACACGGGTTTCGGAAAGGCAGGTCGTGTGCATCTAATCTTCTCATCGCATGGGACAGTTGGACATCCTGCTTTGACCGTAAAATACCAGTGCACGTAGTATTTCTCGACTTCGCAAAAGCCTTTGACACAGTGCCCCACGCACGCCTAATCGAAAAGGTTGTGGAAATGGGCTTCACTGACCCACTCGAATCTTGGCTCAGAAACTACCTTGAGAATAGAAAGTTTCGCACCAAGGTAAACAGGGTGCACGCGAGTTGGAGAGTATCCAATTCAGGAGTTTCAAAGGGGACCATCCTAGGCCCACTCCTCTTCCTGATATTCATTAACGACCTGCTAAGCTTAGTTAGCTCACCGGCACTGATCTACGCAGACGATGCGAAGATCTGGAGGTCCATTAGAAGCGAAGAGGATTCGACTGAGCTACAAAAGGACCTTACATCCATTGAGAAATGGGCAGTGAAAAACGGTTTAAAACTCAACCAACCGAAGTGCCACGTCATGCATTTCCTGCCTCATATGACGCAAACCACCTACACTCTCAATGGAAGTCCGCTCCCTAATGTCTCCTCAGAGCGCGATCTTGGTTTAATAACCACAGAAAGCCTCCACACGAGTCCGTTATATGTGGGGGATGCAGCCAAGGCAAATGCTATCACCCCGAAATTATTTTTAACCCTATTAAGACGTACGCGCGCCCACACTTGGAGGTTCACAACGTCATCGCACCCCCTCTGCTAAAAAGAGACATTAATCTCTTGGATCGAGTGCAGAGACGAGCAACCAAATGGGTGATAGGGTTGAAAAATAAGCCTGACGACGATAGACTCCAGCTCATGGGATTACTTCCAATGAGCTACAGGAGAATCAGAGGTGACCTGATTATGGCGTACACCATACTAAACACGCCAAACCATCCCAATGTGAGCATCTTACCGATGCATCACCACCACATCCCTCGAGGCAATCCTCAAAAGACTGCACATCAAAGAGCAAACACTCAGATTCGTGCACACTTTTTCTCATTGCGACTCGTCGCAACTGGGATCGCTATCCCAGCCGAGGTAGTTACAGCTTTCTCAGTGGACTGCGTTAAGAATAGACTTGATATTCACGTACTCACCTACAGACTGTCATTTCCCTCTTGGACAAGCTGTTCATGATGCATGTCTTGAGGCCTGCAAGTTTTAACCATTGCCGTCTCCCCAGATCACTCAATTAATCTATCGTCTATTCCTCTCCCTTGCTTACACTTCGGTCCTCTCTCACAATCTTCACTACCAATTAATAAACTAAATTCACCTATATATTACTCAGTACTGAAGTTTTACTCATATTAGCATTAGAATTTTACCCTTATTACTCTCCACATTGCAACTAACTGAGCTCCGGTGTGGTAATGTGACGGCTGCTAGTATCCAGAAACCCTACTGTCCTGAAACAAACGTTTCATTCAAATCCCGAGACATAAAAACTCACAACAAACTGCCAACTGACTAGAATCAGACAGTCGAGTGGCTAGACCTCCATCCATTGGACATTACCGAACACCTGGAACCGTACCGAAAGAACAAGAATCGAGCGCGAAGAAATCAAATTGGTTTACACTAGCTCGTGAAAAAGATATTGGATATTGGATATTGGAAACCAGTTCAAGGCAACGTTAAAGAAAAGGCGGTAGAGTCTGAAGGTGAGCTACTTTCTACGTTGTCCCCTTAATTTCGCTTCACAGTTAACAGCAGCCGTAAAGAACAGTCTAGTAAATGCTCCTTAGTCTTACAAAATTAAAATTTTTTACATCAGTAATGCTTTAAAATTACATCGGTTGAGACGTCAACTAATCCCTCTGAAGGCCTGTATCACAAAACCATTGCTTCACTATATATAGTTCTAGAAAGCATATATAAGATGGCGAGTTGTCTCGGAATCATATTTCGGGCTTAGGCCTACGCAGTGCTTTCGCTCAAAGAGTAATTAAAATTTCAGTCAGGTTCATATATGATATTACGAATGGCGGCGACAGTTATCCATCCCAATGGCTAAATGATATTTTGGCATTATAACTGTCATTTCCGCACGGAATCACCTAACTTTAGTTCCTAACACCTACCCTCAATGTTCATTCCGGTTCCTTATCTCTCACACATTTACAATCATCTTTAAACCTTAGCAAGTGTGTGAATATCCTCAAGGTCACTTTGGCACTGCTCAAAAGTCGTCCATAAATTAAAGTATCCGGAAAGTCTGTGTTATATACCATTGTGAGAGGAGATTGAGCTGCAGCGATAGGTAGTAGTTCCCAGCACATTTGATTTTCATACATATAAATAAGGCCTCCAGAAGTTCTCACATAGGCTTTTAATAAATACTCCGAAGTTTTGAAATCAGTTGTAAGATGGTGTTACCTAAAGTAATAGATTACAAAGATCTAGTATTAATAATAACTCAACAACCTTAGGACTACAAATGACTTTAATCCTGCCTCTGTCAAAGGCTCCGCGGTCCTACGGGCTATTCGTAAGTCATTTCACTACTCAGACAAATGAATGGCTAGAGAGTCGTAACCGGAATATTTGAAATCGCATTCGCAATATGGAATACGAGCAGTAAGTCCTTGATGGCAACAGCTCTCACTGGTCCATGAAGAAAAACATGCGTCAACCTTTTTCCGCTACCGTACCAAAGGTTATAAGGTGATTTAGTAATGGTATATTATATTCTGAACTAGAGAGGACACCCTGAAGAATCATCCGAGTTTGGAGTTCCGTTCCTCTAATCTAATAGTGAATTTCAGGGATTCTTTGTCAGACCACATAATATCATCACCTATTGACACTTCCAAAGATAGCTTGTATTTTGGTCGATATTGGTCAATTGACCTATTCGTAATACTATAGAATGGCTAATAATTAACAGTTCAAGTCGGCTTACTGGTGTAATCTGACCGATATATCAGTGATATGCGGGACGAATAATATTGTAGTTCCTTCCGTTCTCTTATATGGCTGTGAAACATGGCCGTTAAGAGTAGATGTTCGTAGATTACTAGTATTCGATCATAGATGTTTAAGAAGCATTGCTCGTATATCGTGGGACAGCCGAGTAAGCAATGCTGTCGTTAAGAAACGAGTACTAGGTAAGGATGGCAGATCAATAGATGAAGTAATGAAACTTCATCAGTTGAGGTGGTTGGGACATGTGCTACGTATGGCTAACCACCGACTGCCGCGACGAGCTATGTTTTGCAGTGTAGGAATAGATTGGAAGAAAATTAGGGGCGGCCAAACCGAAACATGTCGAAATCCATGAAGTCATTGACGAGTGGACTGAGCCATGTCGGTAGTTGTCGACTACCTGGTTGGGGTCCACGAGATGATAATAATCGATGGTTAGAGACCTTGAATGACATGGCTCAAAATCGTTCGCAATGGCGCCGGTGCATTTATGCTCTGTGTTTTCTCAAATCCTAATCTTCTGGATTCTTCAACACCTCTAGTTTTTACTCTCTAAACTTTTCTCACTGAATCATACTTCTTGAATAGTATCTTCTAACCCTAACCTCTTCGATTACTTCTAATACCTTTACTACCTCTTCTACTATTGGATTTGAATTGACAATTACATCTCTGTGCTGATGTGGTATGGCAACATGAACTGATGCACTTACGTACGAAGCTCTACGTTGCATCTGACTGACTGACTGACGAATAATATTGCACAAAGCTAAGTAGCAGTATCAAAATAAAAAAAAAAAACTAAATAACGCTAAAAAAACATTGTAGTTATCAAGCGATGAAACAATCACAAATATCGTGTCAAGAATGTTACTTGAAAGCTCTCTCCAGTGTTCACGTCAGTCAGTCGGTCAAAACGTAGAACTTCATACGTAAGTATATCAGTTCAGGTTACCATACCAAAGTGATGAAGCGAATGCTACAATCATTTGTTGACACAAAATAACACAGGAATTCGAAAAGAAAAATAATAATGTGTTTTCATTAACCTATTCTAGTAAGACACTTAATAGACATTAAGGAAAAAATGGATTGTATAACTTTTTTGAGTGCATAGATTCAGCTTGTTGGCATAGATTCTGATGATTTAGACATTATTCCAAAAGGCGCACAACATGCGGTATATTTTACGAAAATTCAGTGTATCGTTTAGAATAACTTTTGTTAAATTAACTTAATATCAATTAACGATTGTAAATCTTGGTTTCAACGAACGTTTTCTTCAATAGTATATATATATACAGAAAAAATTTCCCGATAAATCTGTCTATGGGTTTCCTGTATCTCAAATCAATATATCAGTCTTCTAAAACTTGCAGTCCATCGCAAGAAAACTAACGCACTCATCTCATGACTAGTACTGTTATAAATGATGCCAGTAAGAAAATCTATAGTCTGTTTTATTAAAATAAGAAATGGTAACCCTTATTTCACTTAGTCAGTTGGAATACCACTGCTGCCAAACGCCAGTGCCAACTAGTAGAAAACTGCAATTAAGTTTGTACAACTTGATCTCAAAATAAAAACAATATACTTAGAAATGAACTGACATGTATCAAAACAATAGACTCAAACAATATAATAGTAACGGATTTGTTTAGAATACTTCTCTTCGAGCTTTTACCAAACTTTCTGTAACTTGGATAGCGGCGAAAAATCTTATCTGGTTTTATGTATGGCTAAAATCAGAATTGCCCAGCCGTTTGTGCTGAAATATGTTTTGTCCGTTAATATACGTCAACTCTTTATTTACAAAGATATTCGAGTAAATTTACATATGATAGCTTGCAGGCTAATACAATAATAACTAGGATAGAATTTTCCTTTTTAGATTCCAGTCGATTAAGTAATTTTTGGTTCAACAATCTCAGTGTCCTTTCTATTCTACAAAAATTGCTTTTGACTTCTACCTAACAGATGTCAGATTATGACGATGTTTTATGTAGTTCTCTGAAATTGAAATCTGGCCAAGGAATAAAAAAGTAAGTAGGTAGTCTTATTATACATCTTTCTGTTTTAGAAAAAAGAAAAAGCATGCTAAAAAATTAGCACCAAACGATCTTGAAGTGGTGACTGTCAATACCACTGAAATTAATCCAAACGACGAAACTGTCAAAGAAGTGAATAATAATAATAATTCAAAGCCTACATATAAAAATTTAACTAAATCACAAATAGAATGGGAGAAACGTCGAGATAAACGTATATTTGAATCTGTACTATCAAAGGCAGATAAATCTCATAAACAAAGAATAATTGAATTTAACAATTATCTGAGTACTCTCACTGAACATTTCGATATACAGAAAGTTTCTTGGACGAAATAGGTTGCAACTGAGCCTAATTTGTTGTCGAATACTTTTTGTGTGAAATTTCAAATACTTATGAATATGTATTTAATATTGAGCTCTAAACATGTGATTTTCTTATTTCTTGCAAACGTTTTCGAATTATATTTGACTGTAATAATCTAAAAAACACTTATTGTTTCAATTTTAATCACTGCAGTCAGATATGGATGTCGGAGTACAGAATAAAGTAAGGGGTAAGAGTGAATGAAAAAGAGGCTCGTTGATTAAGTGATGGGTAGCCATTAACCAGTCGCTCCCCTAGCGTGGTATACAGGTTAACGTGGTTGTAAAATTCCACTACTAGTGGAGGTTGGAACACGTTATTTATGATCTTACTTACGCCTTTACCCTTCGGGGAGCATAGGCCGCAGACCAGCATTTTCCAACCAAATTTGTCTTGAACTCTCCTTTCTATTTCTGCTTAATCACTATCCATGTCTATCTCCGATTCTAGGGGTAGTGTATTCTTTCAGTCAGTCAGTTACAACGTAGAACTTCGTACGTACGTACATCGTTTCAAGTCCTTTGATCTACCTCCTCTCTTTTGGCCTTGAGGGTTCCAAGTTAGAGTTTGCCTCATGATGTAGTTGGGTGCTTGCACCAATGTGTGTCCTATCCACCACCGAAGCATCTTCCCCCGTTGAAATCTGGTTTATCCTCTCCCACAGCAGGTTGTTGCTGATAGTGTCTGGCCGATACCAACACCTATATCTTTCCGCTGATGGCTTTAGTGGTTCTTCAAGTTTCCTCTCCACACGGTAGAACTGTCTTGACGTGTTTGTACTGGTAATTGTGACTTTGGTGCTGGTTAACATTAGTTCCGCGTTCCATATATTCTTAGATTGTTATCTATGCTCAGTTACCCTTCATTCAGGCATAGCACGGTAAGTAACATATGAATAAGTCGAAGAAAGTGGTGATCAGGTTTAAATATGACATTAGGTCAATGACTTGATTTACATCATGCGGACCGCTTCCAAGAGGACATGGGACCAAATTTCAGTTATGTATATTTATCGGTAATTCCGATAGATCATGGACATAGCGTCCCCTTGATTATCTCATTTGATCTACTTGTAGCTTATATTTTTACTTCTGTATTAATACGAAAGATGGCCGATATGCAACTATACTATACTGGAATGTATGTAACTCGTGCATCTAGCGACGAAATTAATATGGTTCTGGTTAACTTATCTGGGGAGTATCATCAGTGATGGCCTGGTGACTGACGAAATCTCAGCACGGACAAAGAAGGCTCGATTAGCATTCCCTAACTTGAGTCAATTATGGTGTAGGCGAGATATCCATCTGCTAACCAAAGGACGGGTCTACTGAGCAATAGTTCATTCCGTCCTACTTTATAACTGAGATTGGCCAGAGTATATATTTGTAGGCTACTGGTTTTCGATCATAGAGGTCTTTGAAGCATTACTTGTTTATCTGGCAACAACCGAGTGAACAATGCTGTAGTTAGGAGACGGGTACTAGGTGACGATGGCAGATCAATAGATGAAGTGTTGAAACTTCATCAGTTGAGGTGGTTAGGACATGCCTTACGTGTGCCTAACCACCGACTGCCTCGTCGAGTTATGTTTTGTGGTGTAGGAATAAGCTGGAAGAAGGCTAGGGGCGGCCAATCCAAAACATGGTACAAACTCATGAAGTCACTGACAAGTGAACTGAGTCATGTTGGTAAGTGTCGACTACCGGATTGGGGCCCGCGAGATGATAGTAATCGATGGTTAGGATCCTGAATGACATGGCTCAAAACCGTTTGCAATGACACAGGTGTATTCATTCTTTGTGTTCTTTCGAATCCTCAACTTTGGAGTTCTTCATCACCTTTATCTTTTTCTTTTAAAATTTATTTCACTGGATTCTACTACTTGAATAATATCTTCGAACCTTAATCTCTCCGATTAATGCTAATACTTCGACAACTGTGGGATTTGAATTGACAATCGCGTCTCTATGCTAATGTTGTGGTATGTCAGTTTGAACTGATGTACATAAGTACGAAGTTCTACGTTGTAACTGATTGGTTAACTTATCATATGTAGTTTTTGACGTAATAATAAACTTGGTTTGAATTATTAGAACTAGTCACAGTCACTTTAAACATTCTAAATGGCCTCATAACCCTTGGTAAGCTTAGCATTATTCATATATTTCCTGTGATCTTAACTGATTTCAACGGGATGATAATTATTAATGCATCGAATCGGTCAGCGAACAGACGTGCACTTGTATTCACTAGGTCAAAATCTGAGAATTAGGATTGCTTCAAAAATCAATGATGTATTTAGTTACTTAAACGCAATTATTGGTACAGAGGGTCACCGAAACATAGATGCGGACATACAAATCACTGTGTGTAGACTGGGATATTGCCCGAATGCCTAAAATTCCCGCTGAACGGTCGTCTCATAAAGCCTACTTCGTTTGATTTTCTAGATAAACTTTATTCCTACAAGAAATACTAGTTTTCTCTAGTTATGTTTGTCGGTACAATACAAATGCTGTTTAAACTTACAGCAGTGAATTCATTACATCACTATGATTACATATACACTTCATAAAGTATGTGATTAGATACTCTTCATGCACTTAACTGAACAACTTTTGTAACATAGAAATGATGTAGAAAGAGAAGTAAAAAAACAGCGAAAACTATTTCTTAGAGCATTGTTTCACTTATTTCAAATTCTGCATAGAACTGGCATCACATCATTTGTTTCATTCAATGAATCACGAGCTTTCGTTTATTGGATAAGTCATATTGTGGTGCGCGCTACTTATAAGTAGTATATGACGCGAGTGTGAACGTAATGTCTGGCAGCAGAAGATGCGGGAAGATCAAGAAAGGAAGAGTGGGAACACAATGGGATTTGTATGAAACGCATGAATAGTGAAATGTCAGACAATGGATTGAAGATTTGCAAATTAACGATTTACGATATGGTTTTCCTATTTTACTGAGTAACTCTGTAATTTTCGTTAAATACAATTCGGTTGCCCTTACTACCTGTGTTCTCCTTCGTTGAACATAATTGGATTCTTACTATTTGTGGTCTCACTAGTCACTTATTTATTCATGTACCTTTTCGAGTTGGTATGAATCAAAAATAAATCTAGTAAACGTTCCAGCTAAATCGCCAACCTATCAGATTGTAAGTCGATAATAGATTAGTTTTCTTCTTCAGTTACAATCGAACTCACGTATTTGTCTTCCTTACGGTTTGGGCCAAGTGGCCTGTCGCGTCAAGGCTTTAAATTGGGTCGAGGCAACTGTTTCCTGTATATTAGTGAATATAACAGGGAAAATGTTATACTCATTATTGGATTAATTATCTTGTATATTTTTAGTGTATTTATTGAGCAACCAACCGTTTATGTCATTGTAAGTTCTGATTTCTGGCTGTCTTTCGACCTCACATACTTAAATGGTTTGTCTGTGATGTTAAAAACACAAAAACTACATTAATCATGCTTATCTAGCTGTAATGAAGTATTATCATGACTTCGATTCTTTACTCCAAAAAATATACCATGCATTTTTCGACTTTTTCTCTCAGAAAAAAACACCACTAACCACTACACATGAATAAGATAGACAAATAAAGAATTCAGCCCAAAGACAAATAGATTGAAGCTGTAGCAGACTATATATCGCAAAACTAGAAGCCGCCAAGTCGGGGCGTCCGCAATTCACTCACCAGCATTTAATGCATGTTTCTTGGTTTCAAAAAGTCGAGTTATCGCAATGACCTCATTTATAGTATACACTACCTAAATAAAAACATTGAGTAATCAGTTTTACAGGTGAATTTCATCTAGTTAGAAATCAATCACATTAGAAATAAACAAGAATTCCTCACTAATTCACATGGCATAACACAATTGTTAGTAGTAATAATCTTTTAACTAGGGAAAAATCTAATGACATAATTCAAAATGGACCACAACATTGGAAACGACGAATACAACTGTATCCGGTACAAGATTGCAACGATTACTGGTCTCACACATGATAACTTTAACTGGAAATCAATATTTATCAGGTCAAAAAAGAAAAATTCATTAAAACAATGTTATATTTACACTTTTAAACATTTGAATTCATTAATCTGTAGGAAATTCAGTGATATCCATTGCATGATCTGAAAAGTATAAAAATTACAAAGCATTTGAAAAAAACTCATATCTCACACTAATTTATAAATACAATCAACTATCTAGATCATCAGAAAACCTAGGCTAGTTATGATAAATGAATCGCTCCGCACAATTATCAATTCAAATCCCAGAGTAGCAGAGGTAGTAAAAGTATTAGAAGTAATCGGAGAGATTAGGGTTCGAAGATGTTATTCAAGAAGTATAATTCAGTGAGGTAAATTTAGAAAGAGAACGATAGAGGTGATGAGGAATTCGCAATGTTAGAATTTCATAGAACACAAAGAATAAATGCACCTGCGCCATTGCAAACGGTTTTGAGCCATGTCATTCAGGATCTCTAAACATCGATTATTATCATCTCGCGGTTAGGCATACATGTCCTAACCACCTCAACTGATGAAGTTCCAATATTTCATTTATTGACCTGCCATCATTACCTAGCACCCGTTTCTTAATAACAGCATTGCTTACAAGCACTCATGTTCGAAAACCAGTCTAAACAAGTGCTCCAGAATGAGTGAGTCTTCAACAGAGCCTCTCCAACGACGGCTTATAGCGATGTGATCTAGCTGGGTCGGCTTTGGGGGTCACCAGGTCAAAAGGTGTTTTACCTTATGCCTAAAGTTAGTGTTTGCTAGGAATAGGCGGTTATCTGACCATAGCTGCAGCATGCAGTCGCCATTACATGTTCTATTAGCCGCAACACCATAGCATCCACCCAGGTGTCTTTCCTTTTTGCTCAGTATTAAGTCAGTATTAAAGTCACCAGCCATTATTACTATATCAGAGCGCTTAACATTTTGGAGAATTTTAGAGAGGTTTCTATAAAACTTATCTTTCATGTCGTCTGAACTGCAGTCAGTAGGGATGTAGGCAGATACGACAAAGAGGTAACGGCGAGTGTCCCTATCCTTCCGAGTCCGTACCGTCCTGTTCAGTCGGACAGC